ACGATGGAGATCTCGAATTTCGACTTTGATGTAAGAGAAGCCAGCGACAAAGACTTCGACAATTGCGCCGAATGGACTACAACAAAAGACCTGCACATGGTGAAATCGCCATGGAGCCATTAATGGATAACGTAGTTCTCCGCGACAGATATATTGTTAGCATTAATCCTATAATCATATCTTTCTCAATGCGAATGAAAGAGACCGGCAAGTCCCTCAGTAAAATTTTTAAATTGTGTTTTAACGCCGAATTTATCTGATAAATATCAATATAATTGATATATATATATTCATCTTCGTTCAAAATCTAATAATGGCTTGTGGTATCTTCATTTATGCAGGATCTACATTCCTGAAGATTCTCTTGCCAAGTAAATTATATCGTATTCTTATACAAGGATAGTTATATCACAATCATGATGTGAAAATCGTACAGTTCCTCATGATCGGCATATCTGACTGAATTTTGTTATCGCGTTTCACATCAGTCCCGACATATCGGTTTATCCTACGGAAACATGTCCGAGAGATATATGGATAAGACGGATTTGCGCGTTTTATTAGCTTGAGAAAGTGTTCTTAACTTAGTCTGACATCGATCAGGATTGCGAATGTCAAACATTGGTCGATGTACATTGATAACTTTTCATGTTCACATCATCGTGTCAGTGTATAATAGTTTTCGCAAATACATAGGTTGTCCGCTCGAGACTGATTGGTAATATATGGATCTGTTTATCTTTCAGAAAGTCCCGTGAACCATGCTGATAACTCGCCAAGGACAAGTTATTATCAAAGATGTCTCTTTGTCGGTAGTAGACAAGCTTAACAATAAGCGAGGTTGTTCGCTCAACAGACAGAAAGATGATGAGTTCGATATCCTTTGGGTAACAAGATAAACGAGATGAGTCTTGTTCGTGGAAACTATTGTACAATGCAAATCTTGTCGCGTATATGTTTCTATATCGCGTCGATCGTCTCTTGGAAACGATAATCTTGAGACGATAAATGCTAAAATGCACTAGCCAACAATTTATTTTATCGTTGATTAATAGTACATAAATTTCAATGATCCTGCAAGAATGTACACACACACACACACACACACACACACACACATATATATATATATATATACTATTTCAAGATTAAGAGGCGATGAATTTTTATGATTCCTAGAAGAGAATCGATATAAGACTGGGTGAAGCGAATGGAGGGATATAGCTGCACGATAAAATTTATACAGGCCATGCCGAGTCAATATTTTCGGCGAACACAAAAAATCTCTCGATAAAAAATTATGGGGGGACTCTGATAACAAACAACAATGGTGATTGTGAACCTACAATATCTGTCGCGATATTATTTTTTTATGCATTTGTGTTACGGAAAAGTGTCGCAAATATACGAAGACCAAACGTTTTATTTATACGAGAGAATAACTTGTTCGTATTTAATGGCATATTTCTAGTATTATATAATTAGTGTTATTATTCGGCAAATACGAGAAAGAAAATAATGATCAATTTATCCAGTTTATAAGTAATGCATAATTTGTGCACGACCGATCAAGTTATCCGCGCGATACGCGAATTAAATTGCCTCGAAATAGAATATACGCGCCCCATATTTCGTTCTAATAAATTATTGTTTGATACACATAAAGCTAAATTATACATGTGTTCTATGCAGATGATTTGTTTATTAATGATGATTTTATTCCATTAAAAATGTTAATATTAATATTTGGCGAATTTAATTAACTGTTTCATAACCAAAAATCATTCTATTTACGTAGTCTCGCGTTGACATATTGACATGTAAAATTCAAAAGATAAACTTTGCTGCTTTCATATTTATGTAATCCTTATTAGCACCTTCGTCATTAAGGCGATTATAGAACGTATTTGCATCTGTCACGCGCGGGAACAATTAAAAATTCATATGGTTCATTAATATGATAAAAGTGTGAACGGTGCGCGTGCGTAATTACCAATTTAAGTACTAATTTCGTAAACGACCTTAAATAATTTTTTTATCCCTCATTTCGCAGCGAAAAAGCAAATCAATCATAGAGATGCTCTTAATCAGACAGTCTTGATAGTCGTAGAAATTTTGCAGTCTGTAGAGACAAATGAGTTTATGCATGAGAGCGTGTCGGATTATGAAAGGGATGCGTTAACTATACGATCAAGGATAAATAAACGAAGATTTATAACGCGATGAAGAAAAAATCCGCCGACATTCAGGAAGTCGCAAACATTATACAAAAAATTAATCTGAAATTTCATTTATATAGACTACACTAATTAAATATTTTATGCTAGCAAACTATAATTCATCAAGACGCTGAATAAAAAAAAAGATAATTGAAAAAAAAAATTGTTAACACGTACGTATATTTATTTTTACAATCTCTCTATTACCGACTAATAATATAATTTTATATTTGTTTCGTTGAGAAACGGCATCCAGATGCCAAAAAGCTCGCATAAGAAAAGTATTATACAGTTTGATTCGTTAATATATATAATCAATTATACATAATAACATATAATATATAATATAATCATATATAATTATATTTTGATTTGACACATGCAAAATGTTTTTGATATGTTCTTAAATATCTGGACGTCAAAACAAGCGAGTGAAAATTAATGTCTGCCTATGTTAGATCCATAAATACATATGTAAAATAAAAATTCGATCGTAATATTTATTTCTTATCTGAGATAAGGATCTCCAATTTTAATGACAAAAATAATAATAATAATCACCTTGTAATAACATACCGTTCGATAGCGCCGTCGCACGCGATATTTGTGCATGTATCTAACGCCTTGACGCCGAATTGATTGTGCTTAAATTATACGTTTCTTAAGATTTTTAATCCCCGCTTGCTCGTTAACTACGGTAGCGTGTGTGTCAAGGACGGAGTTTAGTTCCTATCGCGCAATTATGAATTACTGGACCACGGAATGTAGTTTTTGACTATATATAAATATTTCTTTTTTCAACCGGTCGATTTTCGTGTAAGAAATGCTTGGTAATCGTTTCGATTGATGTAAGTTCGCGTAACGTGATAATAATGTTTAATAATAACAGCCGGTCTCAAAAGTAACTTTTCTAATTGTCAAAAAAACCGAAAAAAATTAATATGTGCAAATAATATAATATATGTATATTCTCAAAATGTATATTTGTTTTATGAAAAACATTGCGTGGTACTCAGTAACTTTTTAAAAATTTGATTCGTCTTTAAAATGTAGATGCTGTTAAAATGGAAAGGAGATGTGTGTGGCAGAGTAAAGCCATCTATCCTGTGATAAAGTAATCCCGGTTTATGATATATATAAAAACTAAATATTAGAGTAAAAATGTGCTCTGATGAATTATAAATTATTTCTGCAGTGGTGATTTATTTCGATGGTACTTATATTAACGGAAATGGAATACGACATTGCGTAATATTCGCCGTGTTTCGATACGATCCTAAACACACATAAAAACTGTCTTTGTGCTTCTCTGACCTCCTGCTTTTTCATCTCAGAATTTTTCTGATATATATATATATATATATATATATATAAAACCATTATATCAATTAAATACACATCAAAATGACGATCACGATTTATTTAAGTGACGTTAATTGCTTAATCTTTTCATATTTTTATTTCTGTGGCTATAATTTTTTTTTAATCTTAATGCATTCCCTTTTTTTAAAATCACCGACATTATTGCGGTTCAAAGAAATACATGGAAAAGTGAACGAAAAGAACGAACGGTAATCAAAGCGCACTTAACTGGCTAAGCAGAGCTCTTTTCGTGAAGGCTGAATCGATTTCAGAAAAAAACACCGAATAAATGAAATGGAAGTGATCGATTGCACTGACCCGGCAAGCAGTGCGTAAATGCAAATCCTCTAGCATTCGTACCTCTTTTGGCGCACGAGCAATCACTCTTTCACCGTGTGCAAATCATTGACATCGATCAATTTGACTCGAGCGAATACAATTTCCCGATCTGATTCAACTGTATTAATTCCATCGTTGCTAATATGCGTAAATAAACATCGAGGATCAAAAACTTAATTAATATAATACAATACATTAATTATAATTTGCTCATTCCTATTAGCACATAATAATTGCGCTTTCCTTTTATACAAAATTCGGCTGTATAATATTTTCGTTATCAAGATTTTACTTTTCGTAAATACTTCAGAGATTCTATAGAAATAACTAATATAGACATTAAAAAAAATTCCCTACGCATCTACAAATTTTTTAAGCGGTGAAACGATGAATTATTGATAAGACTTGTAAAACATGCGATGATTTGCACGGGATTGGCTCGTAATTATATCGCTCGTGTTCTTGCATGATTCTCGTGTGTCGCGACGACGCATGTCAGATCCCAGATATACACCTGTCAAATTTTCGTTAAAACGAGAGATGACAGGTGTACCCATCACATGCGCTAGAACGATTGATTGGGGTCATCCCCGCGGCAACCGATAGACAAACACAAATAAACCGCAGGACACCTCGAAGTGAGACGCCTGCGAACCTTTTCGTCAGTAGACAACTGACCGCGCAACATCCGCTTTGGAGTTTTCAGACGTGTATGACGAATTCGAGAAAAGATCATTTCGGGAGGGAACATCCTGACGATGCCGCGTAACAACGGTCACCGTTATCAGTGCTTTCGTCCTCGATTCGTATAACTGGACCGTAAAGGCCGTATTGCCGACCCAGCGTCCTACTTCCATACGCCTGCTTCGAGATCGAACTGACGATTATTAAGCTTGATATAAACGCAGTTGCAGTTAATCGAGTGGGAAATTAAGCGCGCCAAGCACTTTTTTGAAGCGACCAACTTTGGCGCGTTTTTCCTCTCGATGCGTCTTCGATATCCTTGGCGGGAGCGAACGAAAGAGCGTTGACATAAGTGATATATGCAACTCCAAGTTTTAATCCGTGTTGCTGAAAATATCTTCGATGGACCAAGTTGATTATACTTTCACTATATTCTTGGAAACGTTGAATCCCGCGGCGATTGTTCGAAGCTTTTAATTTTCAAGTCGGAGAACTCTCTATTATGATCATGATTTTCGACTATTGCTTCTCGAAGACTTGTATGATGCTGTACGTTATAACGACGATTTTTACGGTCCACGGAGTAGGAGATGCGTCGAGCGGAGCCGATAAACAGAAACCAGTACGATCAAGACCAGTGAATCTCTGTAGGTTTCCATCCCGTGGAAGTTTTGATTGAAATATTTTTTGCGTAGCGCGATAACAATTTCTGACGGTAACAATATTTATGATCGATGTGATGTGACATATTATTATAATGGCTACATTTATCATCATGTAGAAAAAAAGTCATATCCATTAGTAGATATTGAATACGTAGAGAGAGCTTCCATTTTTACGAAAATAGAAACAGCTTTTTAAACCGTTCCATTAAGCTTTTCGAACGATGCGGGATAATTGCTTTTGTCTCGCAGCGTGATTGTAACTTTTCATTAACAAGCTATTTAAGGCAGTACGGCACCCTAAGAGGGTGTTACATCTTAAGATTAATTAAGCCTGACTCGGCTTTATCTTTTCTCTTTTTTTTTTGCATGCCACATCGGGGCGCGCTGCTTTTTCCCCAATTAGTTATAATTAATGACGCGAAGAATAAGGCGGCCAACGCGAGCGTGACCGCCGCCTTGAAGACTCTGAAGGAGAGATATCCGGGTCACCTAGGCAATGTGTGGTCCGTGCAGATCGACGAGGACGAATACAGCGAGAGCCTCGATACTATATGCGACGTCTGGGGCTCGGCCGTCAGCAAAGGCGGCTCTGCCGTTCCAGATCTGGTCCTGGACATGACGAAAATCGGCTTGGGCGCCGAAGCGTCGAGTTCATTCACCGCGGCCATGGGAATCCCGACTTTATCTGCCCAATACGGCCAGGAGAGCGATATCCGCTACTGGCGAAATCTGGACCTTGATCAGAAAAATTACTTGATCCAGGTACTAAAATGTGTTTAGTTGCGCGCACGAAAAATCCGCTACAGCAAAGAACATAACGTGTCCATTGATATATTTAAAATGTTCAGATGTGTAGTATATTCCTGTACTTTGTTAGTATTATATTTCTTGCTTTGTAGAATTCAGAAATACATAAAGTCCAGAAAGACCCGATCAATTAATTTGAAATCTGTAAAGTTTCTTTCAGCTTTTTAGAAGAAAATCCTTCAAACATCTTTTAGATATCTTTTTCAGTTTCGTGTTATTTGAAATTTTATTTCAGGTAATGACACCGAGCGATCTCGCGCCCGAGGTGATTCGACAGCTGGCGATTCAGTTGAGCATCATTAATGCCGGTATTCTCTTCGATCAGAATTTCGTCATGCATCATAAGTATAAGAGTTTGTTGTTGAACGTGCCGACTAGACACATCATCAGCAATTTGCAGAACTCGACCGAGTCAGTTATGAAGCAATTATCGAGAATGCGAGATCTGGATGTGGTTAATTACTTTTTAATGGGTGACAAGAAATCCATCGATATGATATTGGACGCCGCGATATCGTTGAGCTTCACCGGACGGAAGTATGCCTGGTTAATTTTGAGCTTGAATGATGAATTATGGCCGAGTTGTCCATGCGAGAACATCACCGTATTGTTCCTGAAGCCGGAATCGCCGACAGTGGGCAATCAAAGCCAGGCTGAGTCTATCGTGAGGACGATACTCCCGAAACCGCTCATCACATCCGCTTTCTATTACGACTTGACCTTGTTGGGAGTCAACGCGATGAAGTCGGCCTTGGATAGCGGTGACTGGCCCTTGGAACCCCGTCAAATCGATTGCAACATCTACAACGAGACGAACACGCCGACGAGGGGCTTGGATTTTCTGGCTAAACTGATGGAGACCTCGACGAATATGACGCCGACGTACGCCGGCATTCATTGGGGTAAGAAAAACGGGGAGCACGGCGCGGACTTTAAGATGTCCATATACCTAGTGAACATCGAGCATGGAAAGATTTCGTCGAAGATACAGAGTGGAGAATGGCAGGCGGGTATCGAGATGCCCTTGCAGGCAAGTCCAAGTTACTTGAGACCTAGCATATATGTGAGAAATGTGTGTTAATTTCTTCATATTTTCCTTTTATTCGTAAATCGATTTGTTGATATTAATTGAGCGAAGGGATCACGTTTGCACATACACATACAATATATTTTAGTTTTTTTTCCGGCTGGAAAATACGAAGATATTTTCAATATCGCGTGTGGTCTTTTCGATTTTTCTTCCATTTCTCTCGAGTGCCATATCCAAGGATTATTGATCACACTTGACCATCGTGACTGACCAAGCGGCATTTATGCGGTCGATCGTTCATATTTTTTTGTCCGCATTGTACTATCCTTTTCCATGTTCCATGAATAGGTTCAGAATTAATTTGCAAAAAAGGTAATTTGATCGTCGTATTGAATTGGAATTGCATTAAAAAAATATTGTAGTGTATTTAAATTTTTATATCAAATGTCTGTTCACTCGCGAAAAATGTTCGCTGCATCAAAGTATAGTGTAATAACGAACGTTCATAAATACTAAAAGCTCGTATATACACAGAAACGCTCAAGTAAAATATTTACACGCATTTCGTATTATCGTCCTTCTCAAAGGGATTACGCATTAATAAATGCAAACGCGATAATGTCCATTAAATGAGATACACTTACATTGGAGAAAAAAAGGGATATCTTTCGACGTAAGCTCTTCTTTTATTAATACCGCATCGCGTATCTGCCTCGCCATCGCTCTCGTCTAATGACGATCGCTTATCTGCCCTGGAAAAAGTTCAAGGTGGTTAGAGAATGGATAGACATGCACTTATATTTACTCACATATCGCGTCACGAAAGCACACGAGTTCGCACCCTCTTCCCCGTCGTCCTTATTTGCGTATTTAGTTTCACTCGCTTCGCACCACCTTCTCTTCACACATCGGCGCCGGCGCCGAACCGATACAATACCATCCTGCGTGTGATTCAACATTACCATCGATTGTCTACGCACATGAGAACTAGAGAGAACTTACAACTCTTGCGTCTTTCCGCAAAGATTACCAACGAGGACATCATGAACAAAAGCGCGGTGACAAGCTACAGGGTGGTTGCCGTTCAGCACCCGCCCTTCATGATGTACGACAACGAGACTGAAAGTTGGTACGGTTTCTGCATCGACCTGCTGGATGCGATCCGCGAGACCGTACCTTTCGAATATGAAGTGCGCGAGGTGGAAGACGGACAGTATGGGTCACTGAAAGAGAACGGTACCTGGAACGGTATGATAAGGGAGTTGATAGACAAGCGGGCCGATATCGGCCTGGGCTCGCTATGGGTGATGGCAGAGCGAGAGAAGGTCGTGGACTTCACCGTGCCTTATTACGATCTGGTTGGTCTAACGATCATGATGCAGAAGACGAAGACGTCGACATCGCTCTTCAAGTTTCTCACCGTACTGGAGAGAGATGTTTGGCTCTGCATACTGGCGGCTTACTTCTTCACCAGCTTCCTCATGTGGACGTTCGACCGTTGGTCGCCCTACAGCTACCAGAACAATCGCGAGAAGTACAAGGATGATGACGAGAAGAGAGAGTTCAATCTCAGAGAGTGCTTCTGGTTCTGCATGACTTCTCTGACTCCTCAGGGCGGTGGCGAGGCACCAAAAAATTTATCCGGTAGATTGGTGGCGGCCACATGGTGGCTCTTCGGATTCATCATCATCGCATCCTACACAGCGAACCTGGCGGCTTTCCTCACAGTGTCCAGACTGGAAATACCCATCGAGACTTTGGAAGATCTTAGCAAGCAGTACAAGATACAGTACGCGCCTACAATACACTCGCCGGCGTACGTCTACTTCCAGAGGATGGCGAACATCGAGAATCGCTTTTACGAGTAAGCGATCTTTTCAGCTGTAGCTTGTCACTTCTTCCTCTCTCGTTAGCTTCATGTGCGCGTGAAATTCTATTAAACTTATTTCAATTTTTTGCAGTATTTGGAAAGATATGAGCCTGAATGATAGCTTATCGGATGTGGAAAGAGCGAAATTAGCCGTCTGGGATTATCCTGTTAGCGACAAGTATACGAAAATGTTTCAAGCCATGAAAGAGGCTGGCTTCCCGAGCAGTAT